GAAGATTCATCTAGAAAATTTTTATCTTTAAATAAAAAATAAATAAATAAATAAAATTTAACAAACCAAGAGCATTAAAATATATTTGTGGTTTTCCATTGATCATTTGTGTACGAAATTGCATTTTTTCACCTTCTGAAGAAGAAAAAAAAAAAAAAAAGATTCTATGAACACATAACAAAATTTTCATTATCATTCTTAATTACCAATAGGTCCTGATTTCAAAGCAGTCGTTGCAGCCATTAATTTATTTTATTATATCAATTGGTTAAAGTCAATTACATCTATATATAAATATAAATATATACATATTTGTTTATTATTTTTAAAAGAAATGTATGTTTTTCTTTTTTTTTTTTTGTTCTGTCATAATTGATGAATATAAAGTTTTGATTGCTTAACAGCAACCTTCCTTGAATACATTATTTGAATGCATAAGTATGTCATTGCTTAGCAACTCTTTTACGATCGATAAAACAAAATAGAATATTATTGATTAAAAATATGAAATCTTCATTAAGACTAAAACATTCTTTATCAAATATACAAAAACGTATTGATGATACAAATGAATTTTATCCTTTACTTGATTATTCATTTCATGATGCAAAAAGAATTGAAGGTTTGAATTGAAATCAATTTTTTTTCTTTTCTTTTTTTTGTTTGCTTTAAAATTTATTTGATTTACTATTAATAGATGCTGTTTCAGGTGAGCCACGTGTAGCATCCGGTGCTCCCAACGTTATTAAAGAAGGTGATCGATATCATTCTTATGGAATTAATTTAAATCATAATAAATTAAATGGTTCTTTGGAAACATTACCTAATTTTATACGAAAAACATTTATAAATCCAAATGCACTTTCAATAATAGATTTATCATTTAATACATTTACAGAAATTCCTATTGTAAGATAATTATTATTTTCAATTAATATATGAGAATTTATTTTTATTTTTTTAAATTTTATTAGGCTATTACACAATTTTCATTACTTAAACATTTTCATTTTCATAAAAATCTTCTTGATGATTTAAATGAACTTGATAAATTATATACATTAAAAGAACTTAAATATTTAACATTACATCGTAATCCAATTGAAGATAATATACCTTATCTTCGATCTTATGTTTTAAGTATATTACCTGACTTACGAAGTTTTAATTGTACACCGATTAGCAAAAGTGATTTAAAAACAAGTGATGCATGGCAAAAAATGAATAAAACTTTAACACCAAAAATATTAAATAAAATTTTGCAAAAATAATTCTTTTTTTTCATTGATAAAAATATGACAAATTTCTATTTTTGTTTAACTTCATTTCACATGAAATGAGATGGAAAAAAATTTTATAGAAAATTAATTCAATGCTTCGAGACATGAGCACAGGAAATTGATTTTTGTTAGAAAAGTTGATAGCACAATTCTTGCATGATTCAAAATGTAAAACATAATGTAGCTGCTGTTGCTAATCACAGAGAGATTGTTTTACTTAGGGCTAACCAAAAGTTCTAAGCCCTGTGTTTGAAGAACCTTGTCGGATAAGGTAACCTATTCAGGAATGAGAAACCAAGTATATCATATTGTAGAGCATTTTTAGGCGCATCGAATGGTATAGAGTAAATCCTGTTTTCATAAAACTTTGAAGGAACTAGAGTCAATTTACTGGTAGACGACTACACGCTCACATCGATACCGACAGCTAAGCATGATATGATACTGAATATTGTGGTCTTCGATATTAGTCGAAAGTATTTGTAAAATATTTTTTCTTACATATGATTTTGTAGAGTTTTTGACAGGTTAAAACTTTATATACGTAGCATCTTCGATCATCTCGTCAGTGTGGCTATCGGTGAATGTGATTGTAGGTGTGTAGTCGTCCATCCGTAAATTCGCTTGAATTCCTTCAAAGTTTTATGAAAACAGGATTTATTATATACCATTCCATGCGCCTGAAAATGCTCTACAATATGGTATACTTGGTTTCTCATTCATGAATAGGTTACCTTATCCGACAAGGTCCTTCAAACACAGGGCTTAGAACTTTTAGTTAGCCCTAAGTATGATTTTTGTTTTAGAACATATTTCTTCATCATCATTCTACTTAATCCTTCAGAAATGCAGTAAAAAAATGTTTATAAGAGGTTTTATTATAAGTTTTAAAATTAATTGAATTTTTATTGTGCGTATGAGTTGAGTATATGCGTATAAAGAAGATATTCACATCTAAATTTCAGAACAATTTTTATTTGAAACTTATTTTTTCAATATTTTTGATTTTTTGTATATAAATGTTATAGTATCTCGATTGATTTGTGTTCATAATACAATGACAATTAGAGAGTATGTTGAAATTCAAGAAAAAAAAAACTTATGCCACGTATAGTAACAATAGTATCTAGTGAACTCTATAAATCTGAAACTTTGAAATAGTTTTTTTATTTAAATACAAAAAAAAATTTAGGTTTTATATTCACAAATAAGAAGACAAGCGTGTGAAAAGACGTGAGTATTTACATGTCCATTAGTACTCTTTGAGAAAACGTTAGCAGTATCACACTCAAAAAATTAACTTTCCTCATCTTTATACGATTATTCTTTTTCACACAAGTGTAAATGGTCGAAAAAAAAAGACTTTTTCAAGTGTTTAAATGTGTTTTTAGAAAATCTTTGAAACTTGATAAAATCTTAGCATAAATATTTTTATTGTACCTATCAAAACCTTTAGTAGAATCGAAAGTGAATCCTGGTATGATTCTTCATTCCTGGTTCATAAAAAAATCTGAGCAGGAAATTCAATAAATACTGAGAAGGATCCTGTTTCACAATGATACATTTTGTCAAGAGGAATTATTAGGATTCGAAAGAAGATCATGAAGAAAACTTGATAAGATTTAAGATCGTCAAACATTCTTGCAGACTTTCTCAAGGAATGAACAGTATTGAAGCAAATTTCTTCACATTAATATTGGAGATACTCAAATAGACATACACACATGCCGTGTATTACTTTTGTGTTCTTATTGTATACTCAGATTATCGACTCAAATAGAATGACAAGAATGAATTCCCATATCCATATTACCGTCTAACTAAATGATCACTAAAATATCACAATACAGATGACATTGACAGAAATATTTCATTTTATTCAACATTTATTGAGAATAAAAAGTAGATAAAATGTGACATTCAAATACGAACTGTATGAGACTACGCGCAACAAAAGCTAATGATAGAAAGTCAAGGAAAGATCATTTTTAGCAAAGCAGAGCAAAACATATTTGAAAAAAAACGTTTATACAAATGATGAACAATCAAAATTTTAATTTGATTGTAAGAAAAGTTGATAAATGCGTGTTGAAGCATCAAGTCATTGCATCATCATGTCTATACACGACTAAAGCTAATAGATCCTACACTAACTGTATTAATTGAAAATGTACCAAATACATTTGGCGCATAGGTCGTTACAATCAAAATGTACTTTTCTAGGGTATCAATAAAAAGGGTTAAAAGGAATTGAGCATTGTCACCATCATCATCATTTTGTACTATTAAATTGGTACGTGGAGCAGAAGAATTAAAACTATTATTGTAAATATACCCATATGTATCCAAGCTACTATTAGACATAATATAATAGCTTCCAGCTATAGAGACGTTGATAAGAAGAGCTTGATAATAGTAGCTTGGTGTTGAACAAGTACTTGTACGACAAAAATGTTGACTGGTGTTAGTCAGCTGTGATGAATATCTCGAGATTACAGACAATGAAGTATCTAATTAGAGAAAAATAACAAGATCATTTTTGATTTAACTTCATAGTGTCACTCTATGGCAATATATAGAGGAATTCAAAAGCACCGTTAATATAAAATTTTCTAGAACTACATTGTTTTTCTTGCATGGTGTCTAATACAATAAAGAAAAACTAGCGTGTTATTGTCGAAAACAATAATCGAGCAAAATTAGGTCTTCGGAGAAACGAAAAAAAAATGTATTTGATCTATTGTGCAACTGTTTCACGGATATACATTCACATTATTAGAAACAAAATCTAAACTGTTGTTTTTTTTATGTACGATATAAACTATGTTATCTCATAACTATTATAGTATTTGACACATATCAAACTATATAATTGAGATATGTACAAGTAGAGAAAGCTGTTAGTGCAATTTCAGTAAGATTAAAATGCAAAAAAAAACACAATGAAGATGTAGTCATTATATAAAAGAGAATTAGCCAACATATATTTCGATGAATGAATTATCAACTACTCTTACTAAGTGTCAATGATGAAAACTGTTAATACTAATACAATATAATGATTTTGAAAGAAGAGTAAAAAATAACTATCTGGAATTCAGTCATGTTTTATGGTAATCCTACAAAGAGACTTTTCTCTCGTGGATATGTCTGCCATGGGTTCACGATGAGACAGCGACTATACTTAGATATTTATCATAGTCAATTATGGAGAAGAGGCATTCTTCAGTTATCCTCAAGCTCAATGATTAAAAGTAAGGTGATATTACTCAGATGTCTTGCACGATATGTGGTCCTATCTCGTTGTTATAATATGTGTCACGTCTGGCGGAAGGCTGCACGATGGACAACTAGACGATAAAACATTTTCGCTTGAGCTGTAATGTCTCAGTTGAATGACGTATAATAAAGTTAAATGTTAAACTGTGCAATAGCGCATAAAACATATTACAAAGAAAAAAAAATATTTACGTTGTATTAAGTTTTCAAGATGATATCAATCAATAAATGTCATTAAGATTAATTACCAACAGTAACTAAATTTCAGTCATCAATGAACTCAAAAGAATCTTCTTCATAAGTTCGTAACGAATTTTTCTAATAATAAAGTTACCTTTTGACAAATATTTTTGCTTCAATTTAACTGAATTACTCTACGGTAAAGAATTCAATAGTCTCTAAAACTGTATGAATTCATCTTGCAATGATTATTTTATTTTATTAAAGAAGCTCTTTGAAATACATGGAGTGCTTACTTGATACATTAATTTGAGAAAATATAATTGATGCCAAACCAGTTGCAATGATTAAAAATGGTCCCGTATCATATTCATTATATGTTGTTACAACCAAAATGTATCGTGTCTGAGCCTGAAGAAATATTGAGAACAGGAATTGATTATCACCACCACTATCATCATCGTTTGCCAAGAGATTTAAAATTGAATAAACTGGATCAAAACTATTATTGTATATAAAACCAGATGTATCAATATCACTATTACATTCAATAGTATAAATTCCATCCATGGAAACGTTAAATTGAATGGCTTGATAGAAATATGGTGGCTCTATACAAAGAGTTGTACGGCAGAACTTTTCACTAGAGATAGTCAAAGCTGATGAGTATTCCGATTGCACCATTGGTAAAGTTACTATTGCAAGAATAAAAAAAAAAATAATGCAAGCTTATATAAACATTTTGAGTTGTTAATTTTCTTTTATTGATTTTTTATTAGTATTCTAGCAAAAAACTGAGAAAAACAAGTTTGTCTTTTTTTCGAGAAATGAGAAATAGCTATCAGATTTTCATACTTGCTCATTCTAAGTCTTTATGATTTTTTGAGGGAGCGTAACTGATTAGACTCAAACGTTTAGCAACAGTATGAATATCGACGAAAAATATTATCTGTATAAAGGGCTAAAAAATTTAACGAGAATTTTGAAAATTTCATAGAAATGTATGAATATCATTAATATAAAGAATACTTTAGATTAAACGAACAAGATAAGGTCTTCAACTGATTCATTTAGTTTTTAATAATATTTTATTTATATGTAGAAGATAACAATCTAAGAAAATACCTAAAATTATTTGGATGGATGGAAATTCTTTACAAAATTAAAACTAATTTATTTATTTTTTGACTAAGAATCTTTTCTTGTTATTGCGAGTATTACTGATTACTAGAAAAATACGAACTAATTGACCATTTTTGAGAGTTTTCTATCTATATAATTAAATAATATCGTGAGATGATTCTTACTGAATCATTGAATAATAGCTCTCTGCAATCGTTTACATGAATTAAATGCTCATCTCACGTGTATCGTATGTTAGTGTTATCAGTGTAATGTAATAATGAGACAAAAATTGTCAGTTAAAATGACATCTTGAAATAAAAAAAAAGCAAGACAGATTAATTAATGGATCGGTTGCACTGGAAAAGATCGTTATCAAAAAAAAAAAGAATTCAGAATTGATACTATCCGTCGAGATGCGAATGTATTGAGAGCAGCAATAGACGATTACAGTAGTTAGAAAAAAGCATGATTGACTGAAATACAACATTTTTTAAGGAAGAAAAGTACAATAATCTACATAGAACTCATTAGAAGATATAGATGATCTCGAACTGTTCGTTGTAACCATTTGTATATAAAAGAAAAAATCACCTCGAAATAGATTCTTTAGTAAAAGAGCAATTGATGATCGAAATGAATGTGTGTGTATGCCAACTAAACTTACCAGTGGTTGTTGCACTTGTAGTATTTGTGATACCAATAGACATTGTAGTCGTAGTATTTGTTAGACCAGTTTGTGTTGTAGTTGAAGTGCTCATTGTACTGACAGTTGTATTCATCACCATACTGGTCGAGCCATCTATAAAATGGAAAAATATCTCGCATGTAGAAAATAAAATGCATACATTATTTTAAACAAATAAAGCTAGTGGATTGAAAAAAATCGAAATAACATGAAATTGTAGTAATTATGGAAGTTCATCTTGAGTATGCAAGAGATGTGCACATCAAGTTTGAATATATTTGTAATTGTATTTTTGATTAACAAAAACTTAAGGAACGTACCGTATAAGAACAACTGTCTCCGAAGCAAATACCATGAATTTTTATCTTGTTTTAAGTGAAGTATCATTTATATAATGAACTAAGGGTAAATAAGTTTTCTCATAAAAATTCATGATAACAACTATTATCCGTTTCAAAATATAATGTCCTCCACTGTTTTTTGAATAACTTTTCATAGGAACATTGTAGAGACCTGTGGTTTTCGCCATTCGAGAGAGGACACCGGGGGACATCGAACCATGTTCGAAATTTGAATAGTCAGCTATTAGCCAATCAGGTAAGTTGTAGGTGAAACTTTTGTGAACGATATTCCAAAGTGATTTCTNATGTCATAGAAAATATTTCGATTCCCCACATGAAGAAAATTCAAGAAATAGGAAGCTATACGCGAGCTTATGTTGGCGGTGACAATCGTACTTATACAGAAACGCCTTCTATTTCAGCACCTGGTTATATGAATCTACTCACTGGTGCATGGACTAATAAACACAATGTGTATGATAATGATGTCAAATCTCCTCGGTATCATTATAAAAACATTTTTCGGCTCTGTAACAAAAATTATCCTGATAAAAAGATTGCTATTTTCTCAATTTGGACAGCTAACCGTATCAAACTGATTGGTGAAGGATTAGCCACCGCAAGTAATATTACATTCCATAATAAATTTGATGGATACGAACTCGATCAGATTATTTATCCTCATGATCCATATAGCCATTATATCTTTGATATCGATGAATGTGTGACTAATAAAACTTCAAAATGTATCAAAATATATGAACCTGATCTTTCATGGGTTTATTTAATACAATATACAGATAACGAATCAATTACCGAATGAAACATTATCAAGACAATTTGTTAATCATTATTATGACAGATCATGACAGAGATTCGATAACAGGCAAAAAACATAGTCGTCAGACCGACAGAGAACGAAAAACTTGGATAATAACAAATAGTCAAAAAATGAATATTTATTCTCATGATTTTTAACCCACTATAGTTGATATATACCCAACAATTGTAAAAATGATAAGTCTTATAATTCAGATTGAATCTGGTAGAGAGTTAGATGGAGTATCATTAACAGGAAAAGTATCATTGATAAAATCCGACGTCAAGTTGAATAATGTTAGTTTACAAATTAGTTGAACAGATTTAAATCCTATTGGAAATGTAAAATTGTGGCTATCAACTACAAATCCATTTATGGACGGTATCACAGACAAGTACTATTTGAATCGAAACACTACCTATAGTCAAAAACATGATTATCGTCAATATAAAAGGATACCTATCCGACTTCTATAAAACAGTCCTCCAAGGACAAAATAATATGTTGAATAGAGGGGTGTTTCGATCATGAATTCACATTATACTATATAATAATAATAATATTACAATGCTTGTGCTGGTGACGTTTTAATCAGTGAAACTTAGTAAAAATGTCTATAGATTAGTTTGATGTGATAAAATTTGGAACTTCTCTAATCATCTGAGTAAAACATGTTTTTCATTGACCATCGTTACAATGTGTTTGATTATGATGTACTTATTTTGCTTGTGTGTTTGAAAGAGCAAAGTTTGAAGAGTATATAATACATAGAACAAAATATTGTTTATAAAATTGATTTATGCATGCTGTACGAGAGCATCATTCTTATTGATCTTAAATAAAGCGTTGCGATATCCAAAAGCATATATTTGGCAACTGGCACCACTTCAATGCCCTCGTGTCATGACCAAATTATAACAATAGATAGAGATAACTGAAGACACAGTAGCTAAGACGTAAATTGTGAAAATTTCAATTTAAAAAACTTTCAGTATTAATGTGAGTCTTATTCTTTTGTCTGAACAGTCACTTCTTGCATATTATCGAGTCTACATGATATGTCGTATGAGTTTAGAAAAAAAGGAACACATCGACAATTTTCATATGAGAAATAAAAGTTATCGCGAAGTACACGTTAATGGTTGAAACTAGTTCCATGAAAAATATTATACGAAGACAAAAATAAAGCAAACATCTTTTTCTTAGGTTCGAATAAGTCCTGCTCCAAAAAACAATAATTTATAATTCAGAAGGTACAAGTTGGTAAACACCACGACTATCGGAATAACACACTTTAAATCTGACAATCCCAACGATGATGATCATCAAAGCCAAGAAACTGATACCACAAATGATACCAACCGTGACCGCGAATTCGAAACCTGCTTGGCCTCTTTTTGGTTCTTGGTCTAGATCGACAAAAAACAACACTCAAATGATTGGAAAACGCCATATAATAATAACTTACTTTGTATATTGGTAGTCTGTGTAACAGAGATTTCTTTGGATGCTGTTGCTGCAGTTGTCAAAGATGATGGATTCACCGAAGAAGTCGTATCAATATAATTAGTAGTCGTGGAGATTGTAATGAATTCGGTTGTTGAGTGAGTGTGTGCTGATGATGTTGACAGCATTATGGATGTAGATGTGACCGACGCTATGGTTGTACTTTTGGCCATCATTGGTTTACATGCATTGGTATCTGCATTACAATTCGAGAATGTGTTGCAGAGACAGATCTCGTCTGTAGAAAAGGGAGTCATGCTTGTAAAGACTACAAAAGTCTCCATGGAATTAACGCTAATACCATTATTGCGAGCACGCGCTTCATGGTATCGCTTGATCAAAACACGTTCGTAATCATCGGCAATCAATGCCTCTTGAGCGATCGCACCGCTTATTATACTAATACTGCAAAGTACACTGTTGTTTCTAATGTAACTCATGCACCTTGAAGTGTTAATCAACGGATGCTCCATACATAGCTTTGGTAACGGCGATCGATCTTCTATTCCAGAACAAGCTACAGGATTCGACAGATCTTTCAGAATAGGTGCCAGCGGTTGAAATGAAGAAATATTGTGGTTCGAACTTATGCAAGTAGCCAAATCACTATTGCAAAGATCTTCCGCACAAATACATATTGTCATATTCTGAAAAGTTTCATACGGCAATGGAGGACATGTGCCGATACCAATATCAGATGTCGCTGGAAACCCATGGCAACGTTTGACTAGTTTTCGAAATGTATTAGTATACCAAATACCCTCACGTATCGTGTAATTCATGGATTGACTCAACATGTCATCACCAGTATACATGCGAAAAGCACATAGTTGATAATCATCACGTGTTGTGGGGCTGTTGCCCGTATAGCATTGGATGGTATACGTTACTTTTATGTTTTGTGGAGGTATGAGAATAATCGATTGAACAGATATTGGCAATATGATGAGAACAAAGATGATCGTTTGAAAGTAATGGTTCATGTTTCACAAGACAGAAAATGCACTTTTATGTTGTAATACACACATCTGATGCCTATTCACAAACAAACTACCATGGTTGCAAATATTTCGAGAAGCATCTACCATGTGCAATCAATATGTTGAAACAGAACACTTGATGGTTTTGTTTTTTAAGGTAGAAGGCTGGGTATTTTTTATTGAAAGCCATTAGTTGTTTCTCTTCACAGCAACATATAAATGAAATAATTCATAATACTTTCAAAAAATTATTATGCGAAAGACAAAAAGGAGAATAGGACGTGATTGATGATTGTGCAGAAAAAAAAACAGTGCTTATTCGAGCAATAATTTCGATGTAGGTGAAGAGGAAACTGACATCTATATTGACTTGCTCATCTTTGAATAGGCTATTTTTGGTCGTATTTCGTAGTTTTCGACTTCTTGTCGGTTCTGACTTATCAATCTAATGGCATATTTGGATAGAGCATCAAAAATTACTTCTAACCATTAGTGTCATTTGAGTTTAAAAGTGTTTAATGCATCAAAAACCACTGAAGACAGGAGTTCACATATTTATTCTACCCTTATCCTGATTTTATTTTGTAGTTATAAATAGCTGAGTGTTTCTTATGGTTCTTATTCATGTGTATTCTGATAGAGCTCTAAAAACTTGAACTTAAGTAATGCCTTTGCAGATCTTTTTAGAGGGCTATTCATGGAACAGAAGGTGAAAAAACTCGATTTGTGGTCCAATCGCCAAGTATTCGTAAAACTCCTCTTGTGTTTCAACATTAGACTTCTAATGTTTACGATTGAGATGTTCGCGATCATCGTAACTGACTTCATAGTTCTAGTCCTTTTTTAAATTTGTTGCTATATTCTAAGAAGGCTGGAGATCAAAAACAGTTTGATAATGAAGGTAAAAAAAAAACATAATAAATAATGAATCATTATTCATTGTGATTACATAACACTAGAGACCTGCGTGATCATTCTATTGTGGCCAATGAAAAAAAGTTTGTTCGACAATAACTTTCATGATAGATGTAAAAACAAATAATTCTACTTGACATTTTATGTTCAGAATTTAGAATCTTCAAGATGCCATTAGAAAATTGAGAATGCCATGATCTACAGCAGAACAAATCCCAGCATATTCATCGTGGCCAACTTTGGTCGCACAAGTCTCTAAATATGAAGTATTTAACAGAAAAAAAGAAGTCAATAGTATTTTTCAAAGATTACATCAATAAAAATCATATTAACTAATTGAACATGTGATAATGATTATACTCTAGTAATAAAGCTAATGCAATATATGAAAACAACTATTAATCTATCAAATCTAAAGTATATTAAGATATGACGTGGAACTGTGAAATACAAAGTTCATTAATATGCATTGAATCAAACCATTTAAAACCAATGTTGAACTATAATAAATTGTATAAGTATTTAACTAAAATGATTA